GGTGCAAATCAAACTGATAATTGTTCAGCATGGCGTGTTTGAACCATATGGTCTAACTGCTCATACATATCTTGGGTAATTAATGATTCTGCTTTCAATTTTCTGAAGATTTTTGATATTTGATTTTCAACATCTTCTGTTCTATCCTCTGGTCTCCGGAATTTAGAAATTTATTGTCATAGCTGAGAATTAGGCATAGTTTATCAATATAATCCAACCGATCCAGAACCACAATACCCGATCCTTTGTCTGGGCGTACAAATATAATATCCTTGTTGTTTAGTAGTTTTTTCAATTGTGATTTGTGCTCTTTGCAAACAATACCTTGATGTCGGCATGGTGTTTTCAAATATTATTGGGAGCAATGTAATAAAACTGCTGAGTCACAAGACAATTTTCCAGATGCACCAGAGAGATACGTGTTTAACCACTCCAGCACAACTCTATCAAACATTCAGTTACAGATTTTGTCTTTGAGACCAAAGTTTTGTTGTGCTTCATCTAAAACCAGAGAACTTGACACAAAAGTGCAATTTGAAAATCTTATCAGCCGGACTAGAGACTTAATCCCGACGTCCACCGAAAGCTTCGAACGTTTCAAATCCACATTATTACATTGCTGCTATCAATATTTGAAAACACCATACCGACAAGGAGGTATTGTTTGCAAAGAGCACAAATCACAATTGAAAAAACTACTAAACAACAAAGATATTATATTTGTACGCCCAGACAAAGGATCGGGTATTGTGGTTCTGGATCGGTTGGATTATATTGATAAACTATGCCTAATTCTCAGCTATGACAATAAATTTCTAAATTCCGGAGATCAGAAGGATAGAACAGAAGATGTTGAAAATCAAATATCAAAAATCTTCAGAAAATTGAAAGCAGAATCATTAATTACCCAAGATATGTATGAGCAGTTTAGACCATCTGGTTCAAACATGCCCCGTTTATATTGTCTGCCCAAGTTGCATAAAGATGGTCTTCCAATTCGTCCAGTACTGGATATGCTTAATTCACCTATTCACTCATCAGCAAAGTGGCTTGCAAAAATGCTTGAACCGGTGAGATTAAATCTATGCAAGTTTAGTCTTCCCGACACATTCGGTCTTTTTCACTGCATCGGAGATATCAACGTCATCACGTTGATAAGCGTATGATATCGCTTGATGTTTGTTCTTTATTTACCAATGTTCCACTTGTTGAAACCGTTTGTTATCTATGTGATTACATTGATTCTAATAATATTAACACTGGATTACCTACAAGCCACCTAAAAGAACTAATATTGAGATGTAGAGTTTAGATTCAATGATATAATTTATAATCAGACGGACGGCGTTGCAATGGGGTCTCCACTAGGGCCTGTTCTGGCTGATATCTTTATGGCAAAGCTGGAAAACGGGCCCCTTAAAGAAATAATTTCGGAACTTTATTTGTATAAAAGGTACATGGATGACACTTTTCTTATTTGCGACAAAACTTGTTTAGTGGACGAGCTGTTAAGACGCTTCAATGATTGTCACCCGTCCATTAAATTCACTGTAGAAGAAGAGTTAAACTCATCGTTCCACTTTCTAGACGTAAGGTTAAAGAGAAGGGATGATGGCTCCATACAAAGGTCAGTCTATCGAAAACCAACTTGGAATGGTCAGTTCACTAACTTTTATAGTTGGATACCTCTTGGTTGTAAGAGAAATCTCATTCACTCACTCTGTTCTGGAATCTATGGGATATGTTCAGTAGATACGGTGGATGCTGAAATCGAGACTCTTAGAATAATACTATCTAATAACGGATACCCTAAGAGGTTTATTGATAAGAATCTGAAGAAACGAACCACTCCCCATCCCATTACAGTCCCCAAGAAAATTTTAACCATGAATCTAGAATTCAAAGGAGACACCACAGCGGAAGTGCTGAAAAATCGTCTGTCAAGGTGTATCAATAGTAGCTTCTATGCTGCTAGATTGAGATTGATATTCTCCAGCCGCCGTCTGATTCGTCAATGGTGAAGGATAGGCTTCCACTTATGTCCACTTCTATGTGTATCTACAAGTCGACATGCTCCTGTGGAGCTCACTATACTGGACGTTGTAAGCGGGCCCTCCCAAAAACGTGTTGCTGAACACTACCCAGTTTGGCTCACCAGAGGCGAGCATAGGAAAATGACTTCATCCATATGTGAACACCTTGTTGAATGTGGACACTCAGCACCTCGAGATTCATCCTTCAAAATAATTTACAAAGTCAAATTGAACCACTCCAAAGGTTTACGCTTCCACCACTTATGCATAGCTGAAGCATTAGCTATACATGAACAAAAACCGAAACTTTGCATTCAAAAATGTTTTGTGAAACCACTTTCTCTACCTTGGCCTTAACAATTTGTTTCGTTGATTTTGTCAATTTCAGTTCACTTCACTTTGGTATACTTCTCTTCTTTTATCACCAATTATCACTTCACTGACAACACTTGAACCATATTTCACTTTTTAATATCAATTCATTCCCAAATCATTGACCTATTGTACACGTTTCAGCTTAATTATCACCGTTTTACAATTCTTTGACAGCACTTGTCGCTTATCTCACCACTTGTTATCAATTCGTTCCTCCTTATTCAGTGACCCATTTTCTATCTCCTCCACTTGAACAAATACCACCACCCCTCGACCGATTGTATATTTTGCATATTCACTGAGCAACTTTTTAGTGCAACTATCTGTTCACTTTAATCAGTATAAATACGACTGTACAGCTTGATAATGAAGTCGTTGAAAAGAAATATTTCTCCCGCTGATACATGCCTTGTTCTTGTAAATATGGATCACTTGGCTACAGCCTACTTGCTCTATGGGTGCGTGACTGCCACAAAACCTGAAGATGCCGCAGTCGAACTCTGATGGTGTTAGGCTAGCACATATCTGACCACTCTCATACTGCGGCGAAACAGCTGCTCTCAAGGTTTCAAATGGTTCTCCAACCCCTCTCACTCTGTGATGAACACCAACTTGTATTGAGTAATAAATCTCTTGTCAATGAAAGACGTCATATATCCATGCCAACAAGAATCCTTTCCTGCACTGAAAATATCGAAATCAAGGAAACAACCATCATGTAACAGAAAATCAGTCTCATCTACACTTCCATCAGTTTGAAGGTTGAAACTTCTCCCAATTATAAACGTAATCGTTTCCTTACGATGTAACTGGATATGTGTTATCCAGCTTGACGATGAAGCTTCCATGCACAAAAGGCAAAGTTCATTGAATACCAAGCAACTCTTGCTACCCTCTTCTTGAATGCAGATCGAATTCATTGGTAAACACGCCACTGTCATCAATCTCTGACTATTCCCATACTCAGGTGAGAAAAACTCCCACTCAGTGTGTGCGACATGACCTTAGTGTATTACAAATTATTGATCAGTACGTGTTAGCATGGAAGACAATCAACCTTCAAAGTTTATTCACAGCTACCCTACGAAACAGGATCATGATGTTAAATCCATCATCAGAAATCACTCCTTCAGATTTCTCTTCAGACAAAAGTCATGTTGACGGGAGCGATTCAGATATCCATGTAATATTACTGCAGATCACTCCTCTCTGTTTTTCACAAATCTCACCTTGCATCGAGTCACTCTTCAAATGTGCATCTCATTACCGAGCCATCTGTCAGGTAAACTGACTCTGAACGACACTCATTCCAATGGAATTTTGGTAGGTAATCAACACCCACTGTTTCGTGAACTTCATCAATAATTCTCATGAATTCCTCATAGAAGTTATCGTCATTCGACCAGTGAAACACGACTATGCATGCATATCAGCAGGAAAGTACTTCAATGATGTAGTGGGTGAAATCTGTCTCAACAATCGCTTGGTCTTTTCTCCCACTGTATAAATGCCGCCTACGAGATGTTGCAGATATGTGATGCACAGGCAGACAGAGAACACAACCCATCAGTATCGTTTTCTTTATTTCTGACAGTCTACCAACACCAACATGTTTGTACACGAATGTCAAAACTCATTTGATGTCTCACAGTTTGTTGATGATAACATATCGCGTTCTCGAATTAGCAACATTTTATTTAGTTTTCATGAGGTTATTCCAACTGACATCTCAAAGCATTCCACTACCACTCATGTTCTCGAAGCATGCACTTATCCATCTGTCAGAATTGACTTTTGCAAACTCTCCACTCAGGAAACTATCATATCAGCTGGTAAGAATTGACTGACTGTTGGTCATCTCTCGTATTGTCTGTGGTTTTATCACAGTGAATTTCATCTTGCTTGGAGTGTGATAGACTGCCTCGTGAAATCGATAGTTTCACTAGGTCAGATGAACCATTCGTTCTTTCCTATCAATTTAATTCATTTGAGCATACCATTTGATTTCAATTAAACCTAACTAGTGTGTAGCTAACTGGACGTCAACGCAACCACCTCGTCCACAAAACTGTCTGTCTTGCATGCACATGGCTGTAAACGACAATGCTCGATTCCTTTTCAAGAAGTCGCCTTAACCAATCCATTAGATGAAATCACTCAAAACTAATCCCATAGGTGTCTTGCTCTGACATAAATGTTTATTGTGGTGTTTCCTATGGTTCTCAGTTATCAGAGATGTGTAGCAAGCACGTGTTCTCTATTGAAAAATGCATGCCAATTAGTGACTTAACTTCATATCTTCATTCAAAGCAGTATGCATTATCTAATTAATTAATTGGCACACAACATTAAAATGTCTCTCTCATTAGTTAAGTATCCAATCACCAGTTGAAGATGGTTGGCACACACATATCTGGTTTTCTTTTTTCTTTGTGGTTGACTTTTCTCTGCAAAAATTAGAAAACTTTATGTCACACCAAAAATTACTATATAAACTGGGAAGTGAGAGGACAGTAAATCACAACTAACGACTACCTAAACTGACTTCACTGTGTTCAGTCACCAGTACGAAGATACGTGTAAATCCGGAAGATGAGTGATTTTGTCGTGTTTATTGAGAACTCCGAAAATGATGGACAACCTAAAGTCGACCAGTTATACCGGAAGAGCTCAGAAGTGCTAAAGAAGGAAGCGGAGGTGAGTGAGAAGTACAAGAAGACGGAGAAATTGAATTACAAAAGCGATACTCCAAACCGCCCATCGGATGGCTGTCTGCAAGAATTTCGTCCACTCACGCGTGAAGATCTAGTCCAGCTAGACAAGAATGAACCGATATGGTGGCGCATTCGAATTGGGCTGTTGATTGGTTTCAGTGTTATCTGTCTCGGCCTGTTAGCTGGATCCATTGCATACATGTCTCTAGGACCTAAATGTGCTTATAAGCCGAAGTTACCATTCTGGAGGTCGACTGTTGGCTATTGGCTGGATGTTTTCGCCTTCAAAGATTCCTCTGGTGACCTTGTCGGTGATCTAACTGGTAATCGAAATCACCTTATCATCCTCATCATTCTTTGTGATTTGTCTGAACAGGTCTCATGTCAGAGGTGGACTATATCAAAAACGTAATTGGTGCTGGTTATGTGATACTCGACTCCATTACAAAAGGCTTCTATACAAACACATATAACGTAATTGGGCTAGTGGAAGATTACGAAGAGTTAGATGAAGCAGTTGGCACGATGGAAGATTTCCGACTTCTAATTAAACGTTTCCATAAGGAGGATTTGAAGGTCATTCTGACCTTAGATTTCAATTCAGTATCCAGCAATCATAAGTGGGTTGTCGAAGGTAAGGTGAAGTTGGCGAAGTTTCCAGAGAATGTGGGTGTCAGGGTAAGTGGAAATTTGTCCCACTTGATCATATATTTGTACTTCATCTGCTTCTTAGTATACTCGATACGGAAAACCATTAGATGTTATGGTTGACGGTCAGAAGTACTATTCAGTATTTGGATCACCAAGTGTAGACCTAGATTTGATGGATTCAGATACTCAGAGAGCAATACTGGTAGGCTTCCTCTTCCACACTAATAGGTCGCTTCTTCACTAGGATGTGATCGGTTACTGGATGAAGGAGGGAGTCGATGGAATTCTCCTTGACAACTGTGCATTTCTCGTTGAAGACAGTGATGCGGAGATGGGAGCACGAGGCACGGTAGGCACTCTTTCATCACAGTGATCATTGTTGTCATCTCGAATGCCTTCTGTATATTTTAGACACAGGAACCGTGGTTGACAGGTTATCCAATTCATCAGCTGTATAGAAATGAAAGTGTGACGTTTGTTGGACGCGTACGACAGGAAATTGATGAATGGAGTAAGAAGACCGGCAAAGAAAAGTGAGTGTGTTGATCATTATTTTGAGAGCCGTCTGGTTTCAACCTTGAATCACGCCTAAAGGCGGAATATTATTGGCAGGGAATCAGGTGAGTGAACCACGCGATTCGATCCGATCCGATGCTTTCCGACTTGACTGCCTACTCTGAATCTGTTTTAAAGCCGTGTGTTTGCTGTGGTAGGATATCTGCCTGAGACAAGGTTAGGCAAGTGGCCAGATTACTTTATTGACAGAGATCACCACATTGAATTAAACGAATTTCTGCTCGGTGCCGAACATCTAACTGACAAAGTGATTGAATGGCTCACCAACGTGGATACTGAATAGCTGGTAATGTGATTCATACTATCATCGATGTTCACATCTACATGGATACATATGGTTGATCTTGAAGCTATAATGAAACACTCATTTATGGCTTAGTTACATCCGTGCCACGATCATGCGTTACGTGCATTTCATTGAATATTTTCATCTTAACTAATGGATGTCTCTCTTCTGTTCACTGTCAAAAATTCTATGCAGATTACTGGCTGTGTTTTCTGGTGATACTGGCTATTTTTCGATCACTGAGCGTGATCCGATGTTGATGTTCAGAGATGTGGCTGATGTAATAATCAGTGAACTATTTATTACGAAGCAACATGAGGGAGCGTATAACTCACGGTATGCTCGGAACATTCGTCAATATGCAAGTTATGCAGATGATGAAAAGGAGAAATTGGGTTTGTGTATATCAACTCCATCTGATTTGTTATCCAAAGATGTGATTGCGTTGGCAGCAACAATTTTATTGCCAGGTGGGTTGACAAGAGACTCATGAAATTTATTGATACTCATACTGCAGGTAAACATGTGACTGTGTGACTAGGATTTCCTTCCTCTGAGTAAGCACTGTATCATCAGGGAATCAACTTGCAATGCGAGCAAGATTAGCATGTAGAACTCTGAGCATAGACACATACAGATGAACATAAATAAAATGAACTGATTGAAAACAGGATTTACAATTATTTAGCTGGTATAACTCGTCTATCACTACACATTCCTCACTCTTGTTAGTGATTAACCAAACATTTTCACTTGAATATCATTTAGTTCTAGGTAAAATAAGCTACCGAATACCTTTTGACAGTATTTTACAAAATTACCGAAGAAGTCGAACCCCTTTGGTAATCAATCACACACTATCAATCAGCATTGATTGACTTGTCGCTAACTACTCCTAGGCTATCCCCAATACCCACAATGGTTTGCTCACCTGCTACAACTAAAGCGAGGTTACAAGTCAATCTGTCCACCTTCAAATGAATACAATTTCATACTTAGTTGCATGACGATAAGAATCGTGGTGGTAAAGAGTCCGTCAGTCGGAGTTCATTCTCCCAGCATAAGGCGAGACGATAAGTGCATACACATCAAGCTGAGGGGCCAACAAATGTGTTGACAACAAAAATGCTTGTCTCAATTAGTCTTCATGAACATATTTCATTCATCTCTGATATCACTTCCACAGGTTCCTCAATAATCTATTATGGAACAGAATTGGGCTTGAGTGCATTGAACGTTGAGTACAGAAATGATAATTTTTATCCGAAAAACGCCCTTCTCGGTGTCAGTAAAACTCCACTAGCACATTTACCTATGCCATGGAGTCTGGACGGACGGAGATTTTCGAATGCTATCAATGACTCCAGCTTTATTACTCACCTGCAAAAGTATGATTATTTGGACACAGTTGAAGTAAGTGAAATCTTCCATTCTTGTGCATATCTCTCTCAAATGCTTCCACCTGCACATCTGACATCATATTAATACCCATCAAGAGGTAAATAGATATGCTGTCACAACGAGAAACTTTCGTAATCGTCGCTGTCAAAGTTCATATATCGAGATAGACTTTCTACTGCATCTTCGTTTGGAGTAGCCTATACCGTACTTGGTCGTTCAGAATACTCACTCACTACATCCGAAACACGACTAGTGTTATGTTCGATGAAATAATCACCTGTCACAGGGGATCAATCAAGCATCATCTGTGACAGAACAGGTCAGCAATCTGAGCACCCAATAATCGCAAATTTCTGATTGTCATGCTTAATAGAAAGCGCTGGTATGTTTCTACAAACTAATGTAGACCGAAAGTGTTCAGGATGTCAACATCAATCATCTGTGCATATCTTAGACAGTGCTAATGGTGCATTCCGTTCAAAACGAGTTAGCAGAAGTTATGGTCTTAAGGCATTTTGGAAGTTGCATCCAACCCCATATAGATGAGTTATTTACTCTGAGCTAGGATTAATCTCAACTTCTGTGATGACTTGCTGCCCTATTGTTCATTCATGCACAATTGACACTTTGCAGAAACATGAAGATAAGCCACAAGGCGAAAGTAGCAGGATTCTCCAACTGGTAGAGCTTGTGTGATCTATGTGTAACAATCAGAACGGATTGTCGAGAAATTCTGAGTACATCATCTACATTTAACAGTTCTCTTAATTCACCTGCTGTCTTCCAAATAGTCACTGAGACATACCAAACACCACCACTTTGAATCCAGTTTCATCAACTTGTTCTTCACTTATGGGAATGTTCGCGGAGTAATGTGAGGATTGGAAATATAGAGAAAGGCGACCAGTTAATTCATCACGTGTATGCTCACTTGCATATGTGACATAAAATACGAGATTATGTTTGCTCATAAATGATCGAGTATTTTGCGACGTTCATCTTCGCTTGCACTCTCCACGACTGATGTGCTTGTAATGATGGGGAATATTTGTAGCTCAGGTGGATGGTCTTGGTTGTATTGTGTTCTCTGAGCTGGCTGTGTTGCTTCATCGTGAAGCTTTCATCGCCTTGCTTCTGTTGGCTGTGAAGCAGAGGAACAGCCAACAGAAAAGTCAATACAATCAATGACACAACAATCGAAGGAAACAACCAATCACAGACCGCATCGTCAGAGCAAGCTACTAAATCACTCACGGAGAGATATTGACAGCTCACTGCATACTGAAGTTAGTGCTGATGATGTCGTCTAGCAAGGCGATGAAAGCTCCATGATGTGCTTGTCTCTTGCATTCAACTCGTCATGTGATCCTACTCGGAATGAATTTACGCGAAAGATGTGTGTATACATCATTTTGCCTATGACTGAATAGGCATGTTTCTGTATTCGGCATGTACTTGTTAATTAACTGTGTTCATCGATGTGGGCGTTGATAAAAGAAGTCAGTGGAGACTAACCGGTTCACACTCCCCCTCCACAATGACCATCAAACAAAACGGTTCAAATTTCAGTTGTTTTCTACTCGAAACACTTCCATGCAGTATGAAATGTACACAGTTTCTCTCCTTTTAGACTTCCCTAGCTGAAGGACGTGGTGAATCAGTTCTCAGTCTCGTTCGGAGTCTTGTAGCTCTCCGTGAAAATCCCAGTCTGAAGTGGGGAGTAATGGAGTTGATTGACCCTCCAATTTATGTAAGTCACAGTATAGGCATTCTCAGTGTTTTATATTTACTAAATGTTATATAGCACCTCATGTTCGTCTCTTATATACGATTTAATTGAAAATTATACTGATTTGTAGACTATCAACTTCCATCTGATTTCTCAGGTGTGCGATTTCACTGTGAAATCACCAGCATTGGAGGACTGACTGAATACCTTAGAATGTGAAGGCATTGAATTTGTCACAAACAGCATTATGTGATGGTTGACGTGTAACTTGTTACAAATACCGTTTCTTGTAGATTATGCCGTTGGAATGGACAAAGTGAATGAAACGTTTGATTTTTCGGCGTTTAGTGGAAAGTTACACCGGTGTTCTTACTTTCAGCATGAAAAAAATAATTGAATATTGAAATCGATGTTATTATGTAGTGAAAGACTGAAACTTATGGATACGAGGTAACGTAGAGTGAGTGAAGATTATCTGCTGAATAATTATCAGTTTGATTTGCACCAACCCTAACGCTGAATCAGTCTCCTCATTCCTATCTCTGTCCAATCTTTCACTCTTCAGCATACAACACACCAACCTAATGCTCAATCAACAGTTTCCTTCCCCACCTTGTCTCCCCATCACATCTATGAATTGTACCACATCACTCCATTAAAGTAACCTTAATTCTAACTTTAGTACTGACATACTTGTTGTACGTAATTATCAACCAATTCGCTAGTTGATGAACTCCCACTTTCAGCATATCTTATTTGGGTCTTCTATGTGAACGGACTAAAGTTTACTGTTATGTTGGTCTGCTTACAACTGAACGCAGTGACGAAGTAAGGTGAATTCATGTCTTTCTACTTTCCGTTAGCGTTTGCATTAACACCCCAACAAAGCTGATTCCATGAGTTCACCGGTTTCCCCTCATTAAAATAGAATGGCACGTTTTACCTCCACATCACTGCAGATACTTCACCACTAGGTCACATCAAGCTTAAAGCAACATCGAACATCACTGTATAGATATCATATCGAGTATCTATATTTCAGAATTAAATACAACAATCACATTGGTTGATCACACCAGAGATAGAACTGAGCATTGCTTGCATGCCAATCAACAATGTGAAACTTGACAATATCGCATTTGTGAGTGATCTCCCTTGAGCTCATCAGTTACAGCCTGTATTATGATATGCATTCACTATATGACACTTAAAAGACTTACCTGCATACACAGACATGTATCAAGTGGTTTCAGGATTACTACTATCCACTTCTTCACTTTCATTTACATTCAATGTGTCTTACAGGCGATTGACTTAGTAAAGCACTCTGTCTTTCATCCTTTTCAGCAATCGGGTAATGTCTATTGGTTGTTTGCACGCAGAGCTGAAGGCTATCCAACGTTCATTGTTGCCTTGATCAAATCCTATTTCCTTGGACACGCGGTTTTAGACTTCACCTCCATTTGTTCGTCGGTTACACCGAGAGCTGTTTATCCATCAATTTCAAGTTTACCAGTCAATGTTCCATTGTCAACTTCAAAGATATTTATTGAAAACGGTATTGCACATAATCGAGTTCTAGTATTTCAATGTAAATGATGAACTAGCACAAAGTACAATGATTAACCGACAATTCATTCTAAACAATGTGAATTAATCCTTGTCTGTTATGTGCTGTGCTTTGCTTTCTTCGATTTATAAATAAGTAGTATTTCTTGCATTGTACAACTAGTTAGATTTCCATAATATTCCATTATTAATAAATGTATTTATTCATCTTCATTGTCGACAATCGTTTACTTGCAATTTCCTGTGCTTCAGTAGATCGACAGTTATCCTATATTTCAGCCGATATTATTAGTCCAATTTATGAACTTAGTTCATTCAAGCTAACAGACCATTAAAAGACAAGGTGATTAGGCCGTTTCATTGCTCGCACATATCTATGCGTATATGTATGAATTTATTTCTAAGGAATTGGGAACCAAAGAGAAGAATTGACTTCGTAATACTAAAGCAAACGCTGGATTTACACGTAATATCCATGACACAGGATTTGTCTGAAATACAGTTCTGTAATGCTAAACAATATTGAATGATCAAATAAAAGCCTTGAATGATGAGATATTTTCGGGTTTATTGGTATCAAAGCACTTCACAGATGGTGCATCAACCGTGAAACACAGTGAAGCTGTTTCCATGCAACCAGAGGGTAATATGAAAGACGCGCTTAGGTTCTCAAGATCAGGTAACCACTGAAGATAAAAAATATCTTCAAGGTAGAATGGAACACATCAGGAAACTGAGAGAGAAATTGTAGAGCCATCATGAACTGGGAAAGATGCCAGTATTAAGGGACGTTAAATGGTGAGCAAGATATGATAAAATAGAATGAATAGTCAAGGCAGTGGATGGAGCAACATTATAAGGAAGCATAAACTACACTACTCAATAATACTTACTATTATTTTTTATTATTAGTCCCTTGGGTTCCTAGTGGAACATAGGGCTTCAGTAGCACGCCTCCAGTGACCTCTGTTCTCTGAGATCTTTTGAACCTGGTCCACGACAGCCCAGAAGCTCTCATTTCCTCCTCGCACGACCTCCTCCATGTCACTCTTGGACGTCCAACTCGTCGCCTCCCTTGGGGATTCCACTCGAGGGCCTGGCGCGTGATGTCCTCAGTCGGCCTTCTCAGTGCATGCCCAATCCATCTCCACTTCTTCCTGCATATTTGTTGCGTGATAGGTTCTTGGTTGGTTCGTTCCCAGAGCTCCTTGTTGCTTATTCTTTCTGGCCATCTGATCTTCAGCAGCGAGCGTAAGCAGTTGTTGATGAATGTCTGTAGTTTATTGGAAATGCCTTTCGTGACGCGCCAAGTCTCTGAACCATACAAGAGCACTGTCTTGACGTTGGTGTTGAAAATCCGTATCTTGTTCCGCATGCTGAGTGCAGAAGATATTCACACTGGTTTCAGGCTAATGAACGCCTGTCTTGCTTTCCGATTCTGACTTTGACGTCCTCGTCCGTCCCGCCTGTAGTTGAAACAGTGCTTCCTAGATAAGTGAAGGAGGTTACTTCCTTTAAGTTTCTCCCGTTGACGGTGATTGGAGTTTGTTGTTGTTGTTGATGGTGGTGGTGCGGTATCTTCATCACTTCTGTCTTCTCTATATTCACCTGAAGTCCGTCTTAGCTGCCTCTTCTATCAACTTGTTAGTTTTTGCCTGCAGATCTTCAAGTTTATGTGACATTAGGCATAAGTCATCCGCGAAATCCAAGTCTTCTAGGTTCTTTTCCGCAGTCCAGCCAAGGTATCCCCCTCTTCTCGCTGCCTACTGTTTGCTGCATGATCCAGTCCACCACAATAAGGAAAATCATGGGGGATAGTAGGCAACCTTGTTTCACTCCTGTCTTCACTTCAAAGGCATCACTGAGCTTCCCGTTGTGAATTACTTGGCATGTGGCATCTTCATATAGTTGCTGAATGAGGCGGATAAAGGTTTGTGGTATTCCGTAGTATTGAAGCAGTTTCCAAATTACTTCTCGGTCGACGCTGTCAAAGGCCTTCTCAAAGTCGATGAAGTTGAGGTATAGAGCTGATTGCCATTCTATACTCTGTTCTATGATGATACGAAGCGTTGCAATTTGGTCTGCACATGATTTGTACTTCCTGAATCCAGCCTGCCTGTTCCAGTCGCAGTTTTGAATCCAGTGCATCTTTAAGCCTCTCCAGGATGATGCGGCTTAATATTTTACTTGGGGTGGACAGGAGAGTGATTCCGCGCCAGTTCTTGCAAGCACTGAGGTCTCCTTTCTTCGGCAGTTTCACAAGGTAACCCTTCTTCCAATCAATGGCCGGGTACCTTCTCTTCCTTCCACACCTTCTGCAATAGTGGTGTGAGCATGTCCGCTGTTGTCTCTGCATCTGTTCTCAGTGCTTCTGGCGGTATCCCGTCTGGTCCTGCTGCTTTCCCACATTTCAGTAGCTTTATGGCGTTCAGGACTTCCATTTTCGTTGGGGGATAAATGTTCACTTGTAATTCAGCGGCTGCAGGTGGTATTTCTGGACGAAGTGCAGGTGGTGGTCGATTCAAGAGCTTCTTGAAGTGGTCGGCCCATGGTTTCCTTTGTTTCTCTTCTTTTGTAATTAAATTTCCTTCTTCATCTTTTATTGGTTTCATCTGTGTTGGTCTCTTCCCTGATAGCAACCTGGTTATTTGATACAATGTCGTCAGGTCTCTCTTACCTGCAGCCTGTTCTGCTTCACTTGCCAGTGTTTCGTAGAAGTGTCTTTTGTCTTTGCGTGCACTCTTCTTCACTTCTTTGTCCAGTGTTTTATACATTGTGTTCATTTCCTCTTGTCGTTGTGCATCCTTGCACTGGTTTATCTTCTGCTTCACCATCCTCCTCTCCTCTATCAGCTTCCAGGTATCCGTCGAGATCCATTCCTTGTCTTCTTTCTTCTTCCTTCCTAATACTGTTATGCAGGTTTCTTTCCACATAGCTTTCAAAGACTTCCAGTGTTCTTCCACAAAGGTTTCTTCACAGATGTTCCTCGATATCTCCCATTTTGTCTTGATGGCTGCCTTGAAGATCTCCTTTGTAGTTTCATCCTTCAGTTTCCGAGTGTTGTACTTGAATTGAGGTCTATCACCAGCTTCCTTGAAGACTTTTAACTTGATTTGGAAGGTTCCTTGCACTAGACAGTGGTGTGAACTTACATCTGCTCCTCTTATTCACCTTGTGTTAAGTAGACTGCGTCTCCATTTTCTTGAGATTGAGATAAAGTCGATTTGATTTTTAGTGTAGTGTGTGATGGTGTCCGGTGAAATCCATGTCGCTTTGTGGATTTCTTTGTGCCTGAACACACTGCCTCCAATCACCAAATCGTTGAATGCGCAGAATTCTGCAAACAATTCTCCATTCTCATTCATTTCACCTAACGCCTCTCGACCCATGGTTAGTTCTCTTCCCGTGTTGTCCCCTCCCAGTTTGCCATTCATGTCGCCCATCAGAATTTTGATATCGCCAACTGACGTCTTGTCCAGTGCTGATTGAAGTTGTCTGTAGAATTCCTCCTCCTTCTCTTGCTCTGCATTATTTGTAGGTGTATAACATTGTATGATTGTGACCTTCTTCCTTTTGAGTTGAATCTTGTTGTCATGATCCCGGAGGAGATTGGTTCCCACTGCATGAGAGCCTTCGATGCTCTTGAGGACATCATGATAGCCACTCCCTCAGTGTGCTCGTGGTTGTCGTCTGGGTGACCAGAGTAGATTATTGACTCTCCAGTTGACAGTTTGGAGAGTCCGCTCCCGTTTCATCTGCTTTCGCGAATCCCAAGCACTTCGATGTGATACCTTCTCATCTCCTTTGCAATCTGGGCTGCCTTACTGGTTAAAACATCGTACGGACATTCCATGTCCCCACGTTTACTTTCGCTTTCATCGAGAGAAGACACATCGGCCAATTGGCTTCCCGAAGGCTTTCACCAACTGGCGTCATTTCGCCTCTCCGATTCCAGCGGGGAATAAGTTTGTTTTCACTTTTTATATTTTGTTTGTGCTTTGAAGTTTCTTTAGCGGTTAGATTTGTTTTACGGGGTAGGGTTGCTAGCCCTATGCCCAACCTTCCCTCTTTACCCGGGCTTAGGACCGGCTAGTAACTAGTAAGCTAGTTAACCAGGCGAGGTTATTACTTAGTTGTACTTAGTTGTATAAAACTTTAGGTGTTAAAATGAATGGAGAGGCAACACCTTATAGGGTTAGCCAGAATAAGTAAGAAAGGAACTAACAATATGATAAAAAAGTAACCTATTGATGTGTTCAAGTATCACCTCTCTCACGCGATGGTTTAAACCTGTTGATATGAATGCTTCAGTTGTGTCATTTGTTCCTCTGCATCCATGACAATCCTTTTCTAGTCATTGAAACTGTTTAATTAGAGAAAACAAGTTGAGGAGAGTAGGGTTTAGGGACGTTTGTGAAACCTAGCACTCATTGCACAGAAACAGCACGAAATTGATGGTGCTCTAACCACAAGTAAGTTGAAACATAACAACCCAATTCTTCACTCCTATGAACTGTTTATTAGCACTGAGAAATGGAAAGTAATGAAGGTCAGAGGTGTCAAATTATGTTGACACTGTGTTCTCCACCAGAAAATTACTTGACACATCGTCATAAATCAATCCTACATTCTCATAATCCCTTAGTGTAGGCTGAATAAAATGACGACACTGGATGCAAGAGAGTCTTTCATCAGGATAATTCCCATAAATCATTGTCGTGTCAACTACACAGCAGTACTCAAGATTTGCGGTTAAAGCTGTAGTACCACCCAAGTGGTAGCATGTTGAATGACTGTAGGGATAAGTTACGAAATCTCACTGAAGGCAGCAAATGAATTAATTGTTTCATTTCAGCGGGTATGTATATTATCACGGAGTTTAAATACTGCCAGAATTCCTCCATTCAGTATTGACTTAGTTGTTTACATCTATGCCTATGGCAGTGACAGTCAAAAGTACACCCTGAAATAAATCATTTTAACATTGGTCAATCATGAAAATAGCACGATCAACATTCGGGACAGGATCA